AAACCTGGAAAATATCTGTGGATGTATTAAAGGGACATTTTAGGCACATAGGAACTTTCAGGTAGTAGAAGTAGATTGCTTGAGTAAACTTTCATCTGAGTTCAGGTCTTGTGGATTACTTTCTTGACTAAAGGCAACTCTCTTTTTTACTGAGGCTGATTTAAGTGCTTGATATCCTTCTTCACTTCTTTTAGTTTTTTTTTTCCATTTGGAGTGACAGGAATTAACCTTAAAGCATGCCTACAAATGAGTGAATTAATACCCAGACTACGCTAATGGTGTTGCATTTACTGCTGAACTAGGAAGGAGAATTAGGTACCTCAGTGTCTGGCTGTCTGTGATCTGGCAGCAAGCTTAATTGGACAGCAGCAGCTCCTTGAATTAACAAGTCCTGCTGGCAGCATGCACCTGATTCCCAGCATGAGCAGAGGGGATGCAAGGGAAAAGAGATCTGACCCCCCAAAAAAAATAAAAAAAGAAAAAGTTGCTGCAAAAATGAAAGAAAATGAAGGTCATGGTTTTTTCCTTCTTTAATTTTTTTCCCCCTTGATAATTATTAGGTAGTGGTCAAACATGAACTATATTTCAGGAGTTGCTAGCTGAGAAATACTTTCTAGATTTTGAATTTATTTGGCAGAAAGCTTGGAATTTGTATTTTTCTTGTGAAATCTTGGAACAGAACAGCCTTATTTATAGTAAACACTGACAGAACATTGGATATATAATGAACAATTATGCTACTTTGTGTAACAAATAACTTTTCATACCACTTTTCTAGTCAATGTATGGATTTTGACGGAGACTCCATGAGTATTTGGTGGTGTTTGTTGGAGTATTTTTCACACAGGCAAAGAAAAATTATGGCATAGATAATTATGCTAGACCATGTCAAACTAATCACTCAAGAGCTGTAAAAATGGTTTTGGTGGGGGAGTCCGTGTTCTTTAACCATTCTGTGTTTCTTTGGCTGTGGAATACAGGAAATGAAAATGATTTTCAGCCTTATGTCATTTTTATCTGCATCAAAAGCTGAATCATTCAATATGTTAGTTAGTTGCAGCTAAATGTGATGCTCATAATCTCCTTCCTGTATCTGTGTTTGTCTATGTGCGTATGTGGAGGACTTCTGAACCTGGTTAAATTGTAAATGTATTTAAATGTAGGACATAACCTTAAAAGCTGTCCATCCTTATAATATAGAATCTTTAAAAGATCTCTATTTCATCCATTTACTTTTCTCTTTTGTATTTTGGATTTTGTATGCTTTTGGTTTTCATTTAAACTGTTCCTTCTTTTTTTTTTTTTTTTTGGCCGTCATCAGCCTGGTATCTTGGCTGTCTAGTTAAAAGAGAAAAGGCCTAAAAAAACCAAAAATGAAGAGGACCAGTTTCTTATGGATTTATGTCCCTTGGTTAATAATTGAATTATAGAGGTCTACTTTTATCTCTGAGTATGCATATATTTTGGTGATGGTATGCTGGCTGCCACACTTGACAGCAGAAATGGGCTGATAAGATTGTTAGCACCCTGCATGTTAATACAAGGATCCTGGTCTCTCTTCTCTCCAGCAGCTGCTGCTTTCAAAATTTATAAGAGTGTAACTGTCTTTGAGATTTCTATCTCCTCAGTCACATTTAGTTGAAATCAGGCTACTTAGTTCAGAAATTACAAGGAGAGGACACACAGACTGTGTTAAATTGTGGCTCAGTCTTGTTTCCATAGGAAACCAGGCTAAAAACAGCCTGAAAAAAGTCAGCTTTATCTTTTGCTAAAAAAAATCCCCTCCTAGTTTGAATGCTGTAGATCATAAGATAGTTGAGGATACTCAGGAGAAATTACTTTAAGGTAACATAGTTTTATTGTGTACTTAATCACATATCACCTTCGGTCAGAAAGAAGCTTTTCACCTGACGAGGAGTAGCTAGGAGTAATCCAGCTGTGGAGAGCCTTTTCTGCCCAAATCTTTCCATGCTGTCTCCCATGGATGAAGGCTGACATCTTGTTACATGCATCTATGAGGAGGAAAAGTAGATGAAGGAAGGGAGAAGAGGACTGCAGAAAGGTAAAACATTGTTTCTTCCCTACCTGCTGCTGAAGACACAGATAAGTCTTTTCTTCTGCCTGCACTCTGCCTCTGTTCAAAGCTCCATTTCTCTACAGGTGTGCTGGGAGCGTTATTAAACTAATTGGAAGTACATGATGAAACAAATCCAAGGTACAACCTTCGAGTTTTATACTGCAGCAAGAAGAAACCTTGGTTGTAGTATTTGATATGATACATAGTCAAAATGAAAGAAGGAATATTTGCCTAATCCTAAAAGACCTATCAAAACCCAGCATCCCACAGAGATGCATGATTTGGGAAACAGGAACCTATAAAAATAGTTTGACCTCACAATACTATTATATACAAACAAACAAACCAGTGTTGAATTGTTTAGTAACATGACTTTGGACATCTCACATCATATTTCCAGGAGAATAAGCTTACCGCTGTTTTAATGGTAAAAAATGAAACTGAATAAAAAAGCAGTCAAAGTCTATTTGCCAAATACAAATAAATCAATAAATTAGAACTGCTTAACCTGAACACTGCAGAATTTGAAGACTTTTGGCTTGGCAGGACTGTTGGAAACTTATCTAAGCACTAATTTCTTTTGGTTTTTTTCCTGAATACAACATCTTTTTCCTGGTCAGGTAGTGAATTATGGAGTCTTTGGGCTAAGTATTGGTCACTTAAGTCTCACAAAAATAACATACATTTTATGTCCAGTACATGTAACAGGCAAGCTGTACATAGACCAGCTTACTACCCACAAATACATGCAAACTAAAGGCTTAGTAAACTGAAAGCATCCCTACATCTTTAGAAATTCAAATAATGATTGTTTATATAGTAATACATTCAGAAGTATAAAGTTCTGAAAATTACCTAGTACATTTAAGTGAAAACACTCTTAAATTGAATACAGCCATAGATAATCCACTTAATTGGCATTGGATGGGCTGAGTGCAGTTGGGTGTTTGAGGGTTAAGCGTCAAGCCTCGAGTGAGTTGCAGTTACCTCAGCTCCTGTAGGCAGCAAAGAGAAAGGGGCATCTCCAGAGTGTGGCTCATCCTTTGCTGAGTGTGGGACTGGCATGAATATAGGGAAAAGAGAAAAAGAGAGATAATTTTATTCTGAAGATAGCGAGAATTTAAGAAATTTGTCACTAGTCTTAAAGCAGATGTTTCACCTTCAGAGCTGGAATTCATACATGTGGTGAGTTTTGCTGTGGTGTCTGTAGTTTGTCACCTACAAGCACATTAAGATGTGTTTAGGTAGTGGCATAGGAACTGTGTCAGGTCAGGGTTTTCTTTTTTTCTATAGTATTTTGCAAAAGGACCAAAGTTATGATAAGATGCAGGTAGGATAGATCTTTCTCTCCAGGTTGCTCAGTGATGGTTTGATTGGCTTATTGAGTTCTAAAAAGCCTTTTTCTCTATTATTATTTAATCAAGCTTGGTACTAGCAAATATATTCAATAGCAGTTTTACCATCTGAGGAGCAGACTCTGATTGCTGATTCCCACAGTAACATATCTAAGAGATCAAGTTATGACAGACACCGTTTTTATTTCATTGATTGAGGACAGTAATGAGGTCAAAATCATACATCTAAAACTGGTTCATTTAAGCCTCTAATGAGCTGTGTGATATGTAAGCTTTTTCCATGTCTTACAGTATAGACACTGTGCAGTAGGAAAAATGCAGATAAGCAAAACATCTGAAAGAAGTACATAATTTTTAAGGGCTACAGAAGTAGTAATGTTTAGAATTTTTTAACCGTTCTAGTAAATCTGTAGTTGATGAAGGACTTGCAGTGCAGTAACATGAGGCTGCAATGCCACGCTGGCTTACAGCCAGAAATGATTTGCCACCATCACCAGAGGAAGGGAAGTGCACTTATTCAAGTGTTATGGAGCTTGTTGGTGCCCACTGGTCACACTGTATGGTCAGGGGTGTGCTGCTTGGAGACCTGGGAGGTGCTGATCAGGAAGCAATGCTGTTTAGATTGCAGTCTAATTTAAGATGTGATTAAAGAGATAGGAGATGCTCCTAGGAGGACAACTGAGGGCAGGAGTCTACCAGTGAAACAAAGCCGTGAGAACTAGCTCTGTGCAGAAGTATCACATGCATGTTTTTATTCATGTTCTTATCTGTGTGCCATTTTTAATTATTTTTCAAACGTTATTGTAAGATTACAGGCCCTTACTTATTTATCCATTAAGAGAAAAGTGCATTCATTTACCAAATCCATATGTATGTAATTTTTCAGGTATATCATTCAGCTCTTATGGGTTTGCATTCCCTTGGTGTGTAGTTTCTAATGGGTGTTATGCCAGTGATTGCTACTGAACTGAAATACATAAACTTCAGTATATTGCAGTAGAACTGCAGATATGTGTTCCTTCTTAAGAGCTTGTCTTGAAACAAAACCCTGTCCTTGATTTGGTATCTTGCTTCTTGAATTTATGGAGTGTAAAACAGTCTGTGAAATTAATCACAGCTAAAAAAATTGCAGTTCATCTGTATTGTGTAGGCTAAAACCTGCATTTATCCATGCAATGTAACAGCTACCCAGGAAGTCTGGTCTGCTAGTCCCAACATACTAATGGGTTCATTCAGATGTTGCAAATCCCATGAAGAACAAGACCAGAGATTAGTTTTGTTTAGCTGATGGTGTTTTATCTTAAAAGTAAGAAGATAATGAAAGATCAGTATCTTTCCAGTCTTAATAGTTACAATGATTTTTAAAAAACACAAACCAAAGCAAAACCAACCACCAAACCCACAGGCTTGAAATTTCTCCAAGTAGTAACACTGTCTATGTCACATCTGCCACTATTTGTCTATAAAATTATTTCACCACAGTATTTTATTCTTTATTCTCTTGCCTTCCTGTCACTTTTTTTCCTGTCTTCTAAGGAGATCTCAATCTCCTTGTCCAAACTTTTTTTCTATCAGTTTGACCTGACATTTTTCTTTTTCTTGATAACTCAAATTTATACATTTCTTTAAAATGTGTTTCAGGTAGATATTCTTGACACATGTTGTTTTCCTCTCAAATGCCAGTTGTTGTGTGGAGAACAAATTAAAAACCATTTAAATTCATGTTGATAAATGAAGGTCAACAACTGTTTCCCTCACCTATTTCTGTTGGATGATGGACTGAAATGCAGAATATATTAACTGTTTCAGCACTGGGTTTCAAAACAATTACATTATGTTCCAGTCCTGAAACCTGCTTTTTGCATTAAAAAAAAAATCCATTGAATCAATGCCAAGTTGACTGTATTTAACTCTCTGGAGAGGTCTTTTGAAGGCCTGTCTTGCAGTGTAGAGCCAGGCTGTCACTGCTGTTTGTGTTATACATGCCTCACAGATTTCTGTGGGACCACAAGGCACTGGAAGATTTCTGTCTTAGGCAGCATACCAGCCATTATTACAGGACCATTCTGTTTATTTAAGCCCCTTCCTGTGCTTTCTGTGTCCAAGTTACCAGCCTGACCTGCCACAGAGGCCAAGCAGAAGTCATCCCCTCTCCTCAGCAGAGCCTGGATACAGGGCAACAGAAAAGGAAGCAGCCAGTACCATTGTGAGAGAAGCCTGGCATTTTTGTGATGTTCTTTCCCCATCGCCAGTTTTTCTTTTTGAAAACTTGTTAATGTTGTAAGTTCTTTGCCTCTTTATCCTTGGCTCTCCATGTCTGAATGAGGAGAGGAAAAATTATGGCCATTTTGAGCCAAGCTCTCTCCAGGCCTGAGGAGAGGTCCAGGATGATTATGGATGAAGCTGGATGTGTTGGGTATGGATGAAGATAGCCTGACTGTTCCCAGGTGTGGGGGATCCACCACTTCTCTGGGTAACATGTTTGAGACTTCACCACCTCATTATCAATATATTTTTTTATTTTCTTCCATCTAGTCGGAAGCAACTCTTTTAATTCAAAACCTTTGCTCCTTGTCCTATTGTTGCAGGTCCTATTAATGTCCTGATTAACCACAGTGGCTTTGAACGAGGGCACATTCAGGCACTGAGGGACTTCTTGGAGCATCTAGTTGTCAAATCCATTTCCACACTGCGTGTCAGAAGAGAAATCTTCCAGAATAGTTTGTGTTTTGTTCAGAGGCAGTAGTTTCTTTCCTAGGGACCACAAAAAGCAGCTTTGTTGACACATTTCAGTTTGCTGCTGCTCCAGAGTGTGAAGTGACAAGCTATCTGATGAGACCGGAGAAGAAATTCGTAAAGCTATTGCATAGCAAATCTTTTCTGCCTTTTCTGATCTGATTTCAGTCTGGAATGGAGTATTGGAAAAGTTGTTGCATACTTAAACAACAGACCTCAACCAGATATAAGTTTAAAGATTTTTTTTTGTTGAAAATTTATTGCCAAAATTTGAAATTCCTGAAAATAAGGAATGCCATAGAAAATTTTGAGCAATACAAAGGCCGAAACTTCCCATCTCCATTAAATAGCTCCGTGAATTTGCTTCTAGCAGTGTCTCTAGAAATAATGAGAAATAACACAGAAGATTAATGACAGTGCCATTATCATAGTGCTGATTATAATTGGATACACATTAGAATAGCTTCACATTGTGAATAGCTGTTCAGATTAGGATTATTATAGGTTTAGAGTTTTTTGAATTTTAAAAACGTTAACCATGCTAGTTAGTTGCTTTGTGTGATATATTTATCATAAGTTTACCAAGACTTAACAGAGAGAAGTGAAACAAAACATGTTCTTCCTTTATGCAGACTGCTGTTATTTGTTTTCTGTTTATACACTTATAAAAGTGTCAGAGTAGTATACCAATAAAGAAACCCTTTTGTATCATACATGTTAAAGACATTTGTAAAATCACTGCATGCCAAATCACGCTTAGTAACAATATCTACCAGCTGTAACAAGATTATTACAAGACTTCTATTAATGATTAGTCCACTTGCCAGCTCCTTTGAATTTGCTTTTAACATGTGGATATGCACATGTAATTTTTTATTAGTAAAATCTTTCTTGGTTTCTTAGAATTGCTGGAGAGGGACAGAGTAAGAGAGACAGGTGGCTCTAATCTTGCTCAGTTTGTCTTTCAGAGTCACATGTGTGATCTGGGATATAATATTTAAATGTATTCAGCATAATACAGGGTAGATGTTTTTTAATAAACATGGAAATGCTTTTCTCAGATGTTTCCTTGCAGAATTTTAATTTAGTTGTTAGTAATTCCCTGAATCCTTTAGAAACCAGTAGTTTTTAGCTACCATTAATCTCTACCGCTCTGTCTTCAAACTCCTGTTTTCCAAGGGGAGTTCAGAAACATGGCAGAAAGTTTTAACAGCTTTATTGGAAAACTAGTACTAAACAATACCATAAATTTTACCTATCCCCACCAAAGTTATGCTTCATATGAAAACTATAATAAACTGGTAATTCTTTAGTGTAAAGACACCATTTTTCTCATGCAAACCTGCTTCTAAATGGAATTACAGTCCTTCAAAACATTTTTGTTAACAGTTTGTTGCTGTTCAGAGAAATATAGGGAATGCAAATAAAGAGAATTTTAGACATTGGTAAAACACTGTATTACTAGGTCTTAATCCTGAGTAAGCATGTCCAGGATCTACCATAGTAGGAAGATTTTGAGGTCTCTTTTGTAAATATACTGCCATATTTTCAAAATAATAAGCACATTTTGCCCACTTACATTTTTTTATCCTTCATGCTTACCCCATTGTTATGGCTTAGGAATGGCATTCCAAGACACAAGCTGCTGCTCCCCCACCCCTCCTGTGGGAGACAAAAGGCAGGGATTATGGGCTGAGATAAGAGAAATTTACTGGAAGCAGCAATGAGATAAGAAAAAGAACAGTAACTGCAACAATAATATTACAAAAGTATACAAGGAGAGGTTGATTTATGTGCAGAATTGCTCACCAAGCCTGGAACAATGAAAAATGGTGGACAGGCCCTACATGATCAATTGCAAGCCATGAAGCTTCTTCCTGGAGGTGGGAGAGTCCTTTTCTCCTCCCCAGGACACAGGATGCTGTCAGGTAACACAATATCTTGGCTGTGCCCAGGGTGCTCCGGGCACCACCCCATCATGCCCCCTCTCCCTGTCCTTGGCTGAAATGAAGACTTCCATTCAACCCACGTGCTATCAGGCAAAAGTATTCCAAACAGGATCCATTAGGAAAGAGTACAGACTCTTCAATTTGATTTCTGGTCCAGGTACTCCTGAGGTACTCCTAGCTTTTTTTTTTTTTTTCCTTCATGATCATGTTGCCATCTCCTAATCTTCTGGGTTGGATTTCATAATGAGTCACCTAAAAGGTGAGCATCCTCTCTAAAACAGTAGTTGAAGTGGAGAGAAAAAGATGGACATCTAGTGTGTGTGATTCATCCCACCTCAGATTTCAGTTTTAGTTCAGTATGAATCATGAGCTAAAGATACTCTCACTAAATGCAGAGAAACCCTTCATGACTGGCTGAGGTTAGACATCTTTTAGATGTCTGAGCTGGAGCAGTTATATATGATGGTCTGTGATCACTTGAACACAAAGACTTTTTCTTGCTTCTCTTGGTCACAAAGAGAGCTTGCTTGTGCAAGGCAATAAACCTGTGTGAAGTGTTCTGCCAAGCAAAGGAGTTATGCAAGAGCCAGAGCATCATAGCCTTTATTCTTGCATCTCTGTTCCCTCTTCACAAGGCCATGCGGCATCAGCAATGCTGGAATTAAGTGTCAGTCTACTGAAAACATGATTACTGTTGGATTTTGAAATAGCGCACCACACTTCTAATAAAATAAATTTTTCTGTATATAGAGTTTCTCTCCAAGATTAGTCTTGGGATAAAGTGGTGGATTTAACCTAACATGACAGCTTGCAAAGGGATACATGGGGAGATAGAATACTGCTTTAATTTTGAATAACTGAATTTAATACAAAGAATCTGCATCTAGAACTCTCTCATGGTTTTTTCAATTTTAGAAAATTTACAAAAATCAGTCTTACTGATGCCTCACATTGCAGAAACATTTATGAGTTTTCCCTAATGCTTTATATATTATTACCAGTTTTAACATCAGCAGATATCAAATAAGTTACTAATATTTTTTTTAAACTCTTGGAGAGCTCATTCTTGTCTTTATAAGGCTGGCAGCTTGTTTAAACAGTGCCAGATGATTAACTAACTTCCCAATTATAATCAGCACTCGATAGTTAAATGCTGATACTAAATTGATAACCAGTTTTGATGTGAAATGACCTTGCAAGTTCTATACATAGAACAGTCTTCTTTGTACTTGATGGTGACATTTTAAAGTATTGCTGTTTTAGAATTTGCTATATTAGAAGCAAGAATTTTTATTTCGATATTGAAGCGTTCATTAGATATAGGAAGAATTTCCTGCAGAAATATAATATTGCAGATAAGAACTGTAAGTACTGTTGGATTTGAATAAAGAATATTATTCTTTTGGGTAATATTATGTCTAGGTTATCTAAAAATTTTACACATACAAAAGAGTACATCTTAAATATCAGTTAGCCTTACAGCAGTTCATGATAAGGTAACTTTAGAAATCAGAATTTACAAGAATGAATTTATTTCCTACATAGCAACCAAAAATAAGTCCTATCTAACTTCCAGTAACAAGAAATAATGCTATTCTGATGTTTCCCTTCAACCAGGCAAATGCTGTCATTCCCACATTAAAATGGTCTTTTATCTATAGTATTTTCATTTTCCACTAGTTTGGAAATACTTGAAGGCAAGCACATAGTTAAAAATACCTTGAATCTTTTGTGCCTGGATGATGGCAAGGGATCAAGACACCAAAGCTTCATGACACTTGCCTTTAAAGCGAGCTGTAGGAAAGGATGATGTCTCTGTCGCCATAGTCATTTTACTTTACTTGTGAAGTAAAACACACAACCTTAAACCAGGGGCACTCAACCTTTCTAATTAGGCAGACAGTACTTATTATGGGGCCCTAGGGACTTTGTTAAGAGGCACCCATTAGGTAAACAACATTAGTAGGAACTAGGACAGAAGAAGGCTAAAGAGCTGGAGATGTTCTGATGACCATAAAACATGGTAAATTTTTGATTTAGCGTTTGCTTAAAGCCCTTTGGAATAGGTGGTGTCAATTTTAGCTTGAAGGGTGACACCTAAGTAAAGTACTTTTTCTTACTTTCTATCACTTTGCAGGTGCCAGCATCTGCTGCCAGGCATTTTTATGTTGTGTCTTGTGCTGTTCACTCATAGAATATCCTGAGCTGGAAGAGACCCACAAGGATCATCAAAGTCCAACTCCTGGCCTTGCACAAGACCACCCGGAAATCAACAGTGAAAAAAGTCATCAAACATTTTTATTATATGTTAAATGTGTTGGCATGAGATTCAGTGTAAGCTTTGTGAGGCTAGTGGGATCTCTGTCTTCTGGGCTTTCCTGGCTGTGCTGATCTCATGGTTATAATATCTTCACTGCTATTGGTACAGGATCACCTGGAATAAAGGTAATGTGAGCATTCCTGTCCCAATTGTAAGGAGAGCAGTGTACACTGTGTACAAATGCTCTGTTCCCAGTCGTGGCTTGTAGGGGGATAGAATATAAGAAAGATAGTGTAGAAAATAATCTTGCCCCTAAGGAGTTACAGCTGGGCCAGTTATCAAAGATTAGGAGCAGGCCTGACTTTACCAGGCCACAGCTGTAACCAATGAGAAGCAGAGTGCTGTAAAAGAGTGGGGTGGCTGGTTGGGAAGGGAACTGGACTCAGTTGGCTGCTTTGTGAAGAAGTAAGAGTGTGTGATCTGAGGAGCAGCCTATGAGAAAACACCAAGAAGGTATGAAACTTTTGTGATAAGGACACAACAGTATGGAACCCCTGTGATATGATGACAACAGTGGGTCATCAACTTGTCTTTCACAGTAGCAGGGGGTGTTTCGGTTGGCAGAGAGATGGTGTTCGTAGGAGACGATCAAAAACTGTTCTGCAGTTTCTGTATGAGAAAGTAGTTTTTTTTAATTTTTACACAAGTTTAGAATTTTCTGTTTTAACTGACCTTTGCTATGTGCAATTAAAAAGCAGTGCTTGTAGCAGGGTATGTTTTTTTTAAATTTCTTTTACAAGTCCTAGTTCTTTTTATGGTTAGAAAAGAGAACTGGTATGTTCTATGTGCTGTTTATCTTTTTTATTTTTATAATTTTCATTTTAGATCATGTTCATACCCATAATATATATTATTCTGTATTGCTGTTTCATGGAAATATGGCAGTACTTGTACTTGGATTAATCAGCTACTCAGTCATCACTCATAATTAAGCACAGTAAAATAACTTCATGCATTTGCTGCTGCTTCTTTTTTTTTTAATCCATTTGAGCCCCGGGGTGAAGCCAGAGCCTCTGTAAAGATATGTTGCATGTCTGTTTAGATAGAAGAATATTTAAGTTCTGTTTGGTTTTGTTTGTTTGTTTTTTTTTGGTTTTTTTTGTTTGTTTGTTTTTTTGGTTTTTTTTTTAAGAGAGAAAAGTATAAATAAAACTATGTAGATAGAACCACAAATCTGTTTGCTTAAAAAAGCTGTAGTATTGCATGTTTTGGATAATCCAGAGTGTCTGTCCAGGTGACTGAGAGTATTTTCAAGAGACCTGTTGGAAAAGGTTTAAAAATCTAAAAAAAAGTGATGGCTGTATTGATACAGAAAAGCGTAGAAACAACCCTATAAGGGAAAGCACTGGACACTGACATTGGTGAAACTGCAAAGTGCTTGTTTGCACTTTGCTCTAAGTGGATAAGCAGCCAAGTTATTGGAAGTGTGATATGAAACTGAGAGACATGGAGAAATATAAAATAGTAGGGGTTATTCAGCATTACTTTTGTGGAAGAACATTGCATCACTGAACTCTAAAAGTTTTCTGAAGGAATTAAAGGAGCATGCAGACAAGTTTTTGAGTTATTGGTAATGAACAAAGAGAAGTGTTGTATCACTCACAGGCAGGCCCATGGACATTGCTATGGGCGCTTCCAGAGCAAAGTAACTGAGTGATGAGCTTCACAGATGTGCTTTAAAAAAGGCAGTGTCTTTCACTACTCTGGGCATAGATAAACTGATTAAACAGGACTGTTGTGGTACTGAGGTTTGCATCAACAATAACAGAGAGAAATGCAGGAGTAGAATACAAATAGTTCAGTGGTCTTCATGAAAAAGAAAATCAAAATAGTTTTCATTTCAATGTTTGCAGTTACTTCTGGTAATATAATTCTCATTATTTGGAATGTAAAATGCTTGTATAAGTTGGTGGAGATAATTGTCCAAGGAGTGTTCTCTTTTTTCTTCATATGGTAGTTTACTGGCCATCCATGGTTTCAGATTATAGTGAGATTTAAATATAGCAGGTATTTTTGATCCTGTAGTCCAAACAGCAGTGGCTTCAATGTAGCTGAAGAGATTGATGAAGGAGGTCAGAGTTCCTATAGTACAGAGGTTTATGTGCAGGGCTCTTGTACCCTTGTACTTGCGTGTGGGTGTCATGGAGAATGTTGCTGAGATGCCTTCTTCAACTCATGGCAGAGAAGTTTGTTGAAACAAATCCTTGGTGCCCACAAATACTGTGTTTCTCAGTGTTATGCCCTATGTTATTGTCAAGGTTGGACTTGAAGATCTAGGAGGGCTTTCCCAACCTTAATAATTCTGTAATTATATGATTCTGTGATAATGTCTGTGGTGGTTTATAAAAATAACAAAGCTTCAAATAAGCTGTTCCCCTTCCCTTCAGCCTCTCTGGGGAGAGAGGGACAGAGGCAGAGACTATAGGGTGAGAACCTTTTTCTGAAAACAAACAGCAATGGGATGAGAAACACACAGTACCAGCAATAATATCAATAACAAAAATATACAAGAGAAGGTGACTTACACACAAAAGGTGTTCGCCACCTGGACTTAGTTCTGTGTGGCCACCAAGACAAAGACAAGGTGGTGTGCGCTCTCCATGGCTTGTGTTCCTCATC